AAGAAGAAAACGCTCCTTAAGAAGTGTCAAAGTGAAGCTGAGCACGTTGAAGTGTAGAGGAAAACCAAGACAGAGCTTTGCTGTTGCTTTAAACAAAGATTAAAGTCTAAAAAAGTTCAGCAAACAAAAAGCAAATTTTTTCTCTGCCGAATGCTGAACAGGTTGATCAGACTTGATAAATCCAAGTGGGCTGTTTCTTGTTCTGTGTGGCTTAGTCTGCCCAAACTGTAGTCAGCATTAGAGAGCTCACAGATGTTTCTCTGTTGAAATATCATTAGGCACTGATCCCAAAAACATGTGCTCATGGGAAATTAGACAATCAAAGCTGAGCCCCCCCCCATCATTTTTAGAGAGGCAGTTCTGAAACACCAGATAAGAACTTTCTGGCTTAACAGCAGCCTATATGTAAGTCTAAATGTGTTATTATAAGAAAAATATATGCAAAAATGCATTCATTTCAAAGCTTACTCTGTTTTAAACTATCAAAGAGATTATTAGCTTAGCGACTATTGTTTTGACTTTTATTGAAAGTCATAAAATTAATGAGAGACTACATATCTGCCATAAACATTGTATTTGGACATGCTCACATTCTCAGGAAATGAATTTGTGGGAAACATGATTGATTTTAGCCCAGTTTAATATCCTGATGATGTTATTCAGCAAATGTTTTGGCCAGAACAAAATGCATACATGTGTGTGCATAAGTTTGCAAAACACAGTTTACTCTGTCTCCGCAGAGCAGATTGGACAGTAGACAGTTGTTCAGTAGTGTGCAGCAATAGGTGTAGGAGGGGCAGTGCTTTGCTGCTCTTTGCATCCAGGGAAATCTGGTCCCTCTGAATGCTGCATTGTGTTTCTGCTGCATCTTTAAACCATAGCAACTGCAGCTTGGATCTTAAATTGTGATGAGCTGTGCAATCGATGCAACAGTTTTGTAAATTTATCCACATTTCTATTCAAACATCGGTTAATAAGAGAGATGAACTCAGCCCTGTGTAGATATAGTTGGTATTTTGCTTTTGGAGGTGAAGAATATGGTTTCTGTTCAAACTACAATCTTTTTTATTGATTTATTTATAATCAACCCTGAAGCCAACATGTTTAGTTTTTTTCTGAATGCATTTCCTTCCCCAGAGCTGAATGAATTTTATAGAAGACAGTAAGCAGAGTCTCCCTGCTACGCAGGAGAAACCAGGGAGTCTCATTGTGATCACTTTAATTTTCTCAGTAGTTTCCATGTCACTGAAGTAATCTGAATTATTCTGAGCAATCTATGAAAGTAACTGATTTTGAGTCTTAACGACTTGAAGCTGATAAACGTTATATAACTGTTAATCTGTAATATTTCTATACCAACGGCAGCTTTAGATGTCTGATGTAGCACAAATGTGAATCTAAAATTGCCTGAGAAAAAAGATAGTACACTGACTTGAGGATTAATTTCTGGCTGATTTAGCAAATTATTGTAAGCACCGCGTTTCCTAAAAAGCAAAGAAATGCTTCTGAAAATAACCTGTGTGGGGTTTTCTCTGGAGCCTGGATGTATGTGAATAGTGTGCCACAGCAAGATGCATCTGTTTTGTGAAATTCACCATCAAGGTGTCAGGGAGGCAAAAAGAGGATGATTTTTATATAATTTGTGTAAATGCAGTTTTACATGTTAAGGTGTATTCAGAAAGCTGTAACTTGCTCTGAGAAACCTTTATGAGATGATGAGCCTTTTGATAACATCTGGAAGAAATGAAACCTTACAATGACATTTGGGATCGGAACATTGGCATTTGAGGTTAAAGTGAGAATAACGACTTCTTGGAATAAGACAGTTCTTCATCCTGATCAGACAGAGAGCAGTATTCAGTTCAAAGTAAAGAGAGATATCTTAGTTTGATTAGAGTCTGAACTCTTGCACTAAGTTTTGACTTACTGATTCTGATGGTGGTCGTTGTTTATTTTATTATTTTTTATTTTTTCTGATTCCGTTAAATGTTCACCAGAACACCACAGCTTGGTACAAACCTGGTAGCACAGTAACAACAGATGAGCCATGATGCTCATCAATGTGGTTTCAGTTGCTAACATGATCAGAAAAGTTTCCACATTTTGGGAATGAAGCAGAAGTCACTGGAAAGAGTTTGGTGCCAAAGTTGGCAAAAGCTGCCTCGCTTCCTACAACCTCGACACGACTATACCGATTAAAAACATCAGCTGTGGGGAAAAAGGAACAACTGAATGACTGTAACCTCAAGGTTTAATTTCTTACTCTACAATTATGTTTTTCCAAGTGATTTCTCTTTACTCCTGACAACCACTGTTATTTAAAAGTTCACAGCTGACACTGCCCCTTTTGAACTTTACCCAGAAATGTAGATTTTCCAAATTGTCAGGCCAAACCCATAGTCTCTATATGTGAGAAAAGGTGAAATGGGTTCCTTTGATAGCAGATTGTGAAACATTTTGCATTCGGTGGTGTTCTGCACTCTTGTGAACCTGTCCATGACATTTTAGAAGTTATTATTCTAGTTTATCCTTGAGCAGTTAGAGTAGATGAAGATACACCAAAGTGGTTAAAGAGTATGCATCTGCTTCTGCATTGTAAAGCTCAAACATCATACACATTTTTTAAATGAGCTAGTAGCAAGCATGTGTGGGAACACCATTATTATTTGGATTCAATTAATTTTCATGAATTTACAGCATCTGTTGAAATTTAATTGGGTAAATGTACAGCAGATTGCCGTCATACCTTTCTGAACATATGCTTTTCATTTGCATTTTGAAAATATAAAACAGGAGCCGTACATATAAAATGTGTTTTCTTGTTAATTTTCTATTTTTTGTATCTTTCTAAAGGTGTTTATTGTACATTTAAGTTACAAAATTAAGTAAGTTGACTGCTGTTTTGCATGTCCAGGATTTCTCTTTTTTTTATTGGATTTTAGTCCTTATTCATTTACTTTAGCAATTCAGATTATTTTGCTTCCTTGTTGATACGGCTTCAACTTTGCAGCTTTCCGCATCTCTTAAAGGTAACCAGTAATACTCATTTTGACATCTGCATTTTACTCAGGAAGTTAAAACAAACGGGTCCGGGTGTTTTGGCAAGAGAAGCTTATCAGGGAACAGAAAACCTCCACAGGCGCTGAACTGGGACAACTCGGGTCATCATGAGTTCGGAAGAGGAAAGAAACATTTAAAGTTAATACCTCCTTTTGTTTCTGAACAAAATCTAAAAAAAGGCTTCAAATTTTATTCTAATTTTTAAAAATCAGCTCTTAATTTATTGTTTTAGGTACAGTTCATCATTTGCATCAATCCTAAAAACACAAACTGATACCATTTATTGAATCGCCAAGAACTACAAGGAGAGTTTCAACTGCAGTAAAGAAATCTTCAGCACACTCTAAGGTTGCCACCAGTGCAAAGTTTGCTCAGGAATGTCAGAGGACGTGCGTTTCTGTTTCTGCACACACGCTAAGACTTTTACACGCTGGACAGTCAAGGAGGACAGTAAAGAGTCACTTCTCTCCCAGAGTAAAACATAAAGGATAGACTGACATTCTGCAGAAAGGAGCCAGATTGCGCTGTGGAGGACGGGGATAAAATTGTTTTCCACTGTGAACCGCCCTTTAGACAGCTTAAGGCATCTGGAAAAAGAATTATCTGGAGAAAAGGCGATCTTGACAACATAATGGAGCAGGCCCACAAAAAATGGCCTGAAAAGGATGAAAACATCCCCCAGCAGCAACTTTTCTCAACAATCCAGACTGTTAAGTGATGAACAATAGTTCCTCCAGCATGATGCAGCACCTACTTTAAATGATTGACTGAATAACAGACTTCTGCAGCACCTGTGGCCAGGAAGTAACTTGAATCAGGTGCACTGGAGCAGAGACATCCAAGTGCTATCCCACACCTCATCCAAAGCCAAGCAGTCACATGGTTGTTAGATTTCTGTATTTTCACAAGCAGAACAGTATCGATACTGTTCTGCATGATGTATATACATCATGCCCTAAGCACTGTATGTAAACTGTCACAGCAATAACGTCTCTGCAGACAGCCTCTACGAAGAACAACGTTGCAATTTCCATCCAGGAATGTTTAGCCATTTGACAATCTTTGTGAGTATCTAGTGAAGAATCATGCAAATGTCCGTAATTCATCACCATGTCTCAAAAACGCTCTTCAAAAGTATTCATGTCTCCTGCAGAAACATAAGCAAAATAGTGGACATGGACAAGTTGAAGCAAAATATCAACTTTGCTGTTTGAGAGTTTATCTGCATAAAGTACGTCAGTAAACTTCTAACCAATCACACAACACATTGCACAGAGCTCTGTGTGAAATGGTTTGACCCAGGTCTGGTGTCTCTAAGGAAGAGGATGAGGACGTATCCATGCGAAGACAGTTACACAATTTTTGTATGACATTTCGACTCTTTAAATGAAATATGGGAAAACCTTAAAACATGGGACAGTGAGTCCTGAACACAACCCATCTATTCCCGCTTATCTCTGCAGGGGCTGGTGTCTGTCTGCAGCAGTACATGGCTAAGGACAATTTAGATAAACCAGTTAAGCTCACACTAATGTTTTGGACTATGAACTTCAAACTCCAAACCAAGACTCTCGCTGTAAGACAGCAGTGCTACCAACTGTCCCTTCATGCAAACCAGGTTTGAGCGCCCTAAATCTCAATACCAGTGAGAATGTGTTGTGTCCCTTTGCAGGACGTTTATGTAACTTTCAATAAAAGCCTTTGAAAGGTATTAAATTTTGATCACTAAACTTCACTGTACAAGATCTTAGAAAAAGCACTAACACTGAATGTTCCTGAGTCTGAAACAAGCAGCTGGATGACAGGAAAGATGTGGGTTTAAATAAAACAAGATGAAAAAAAAAGGTATCATTTTATTCCTTTCCTTAGCTGACATGAAAACAATTTTGAAGGACAAATAATGATTTCCTTTTTTTTTTGTCATTTTTCTTCTATTTCAGGAGACAATAATGGATGGCCAAACCTTTTTGACAAATATTTTGGCATGCTGAGTCATAATACCAGGACCAAGTCCAACGTGTGCTGTAAGTGTTCTCTAATGTTTTTAAAGCCATTCTTTACAGAGAATGAGGTGAGAATATGGTGTTGGCAGGGTTTCTGGAAATGTGAAGAACACAATTATGTGTTATGTATTGTTTTAGGAACAACATCGGTGTGGGTGCAGACAGGAAAATTGCTAGATTTTTTGCAAATTTTAGCCATTTGTCAGAAATCTTTACTCATGATATGTTAACTTCTGAAAAGAAGAAATGCAGCCAGATTTAGTTGAGACACTCAGGATTTAATGATAGTTCTGCTGCAGATTCCTTTTGTGTAGGTTTTTATTCTGTCATTATAGCCCACCCGTTGATGTAGGCTGTAAACAGTTTTTTTTTTTTTTTTTTTGCATTCTCCCCAAAGTAAGTACTCAGTTTTTCACAATGTGATCTTCACAGGAGGATGGTGTTCTTTCTTTCATCTCTGAATGTCTCTGTTTCCTGCCACTGGCTTATTTGTGAGAAAAAAGCAAAAGAGGGGGAAAGGATTTAGGGAGAGTAGGTTTGCTTTGGTGTTATTGAATGTAAACCCATTCTGAATGTGCATCATGCCTCAACCCACGTTATTCGCTTCAAAAATCTCCACCAGCAGTGGAAACTGACTGTAGAAAACACAATTACCCAATCACAGCTCTGGTGGTCTTCAAAGCACCTCTTGTCATGTTTAAGAAGGTGCATGTATTACACTTTAAACCCTTTCATTTTGTCCATTAAGCATGAGCATCAATCCAGTCTAAAGGAAATCTCTCTTAAATGAGTAACAAAAATTAGCTTCGAGTTTTAGGATCAAATTTTTTACAGTTGAACATTCAGAAAATCTGAACCGCTGAAGCTTTTTATCAGTAAACTTCACACAGTCTGAGTCACATTTAACACCAGGAGCAGACTGGCAATCTTTCTACTTTGGTCAAGTCTAACAGCTTTCCAGTGTGGTACAGTGACCTGCCTGGTTCATTCATCAAAACCGTTTGAGTGCCTCTAGGAGAAGAGAACGTGTGTGTGTGTGTGTGTGTGTGTGTGTGTGTGTGTGTGTGTGTGTGTGTGTGTGTGTGTGTGTGTCACAGCAGTGTGTGAACACCACACAGTCATATTTACTGCGATATGCTTCCTGATGAGGCTCATTTGTTAAAATAAAAATACTTTTTTAAAAATGACAACCTTCAAGCTGGCATTAAGCATACTGTTAGTTAAACCCACATTTCTGTGTTATATATATCTTTTTATTGGTCTAAGATAATATTCTAATTTTATATGTCAGATTTTCAGTGCTATAAGCAGAAAGTCATCATAATTAACAGAAGTAATGACTGGAAAATAACAATCTGTGTGTAGTTGATTTATATAATGTTTCACTTGGTAATAAAGTTATAAAGTTAACATTTTAATTTATTGAGATGGGTCTGTGTATATATATATAGCTGAGGTAACAGGCAACATGAGCAAAAAAGTCTTTTCATGTACTGTACATGAAATGTACTGTTCAAAACAGTACATTTTGCTGTACAAAAGCTGTGCTTTTTGTACAGTAAAATGTACAAAAGTTAAAAGAATTTGAGTTGATGAGCAGTAAAATATTAAAATATGTTCCTTCTAAATCTACTGCAAAAATAAACTCACTAAAAACACAGGCAGTCTGATATTTTGCCCATCTTTCAGTAAGTGTAGTGTATGTGTAGATACACATACACTACACTTACTGTTCCATTTATGCTTTTTTATTTCCAGTAAAATATGTATTTGTACTTGACGTCTGTACGCTTGTGATTCTGAAAACAAAAGCTGACAGCTGAGAGAGAATCTTACAGGAATTAATGCTCTGACTCCTCAAGCCGAGTTTGCAGCTGTGAAAATCTCTTTCCATTTCTTGAATGCTGGACGTAGTTTTTTCCCTGACCTGTCTGCTCTCTTCCTTGGTCTTTATGATGCTGCTTGTTTTCTAATGTTGTCTGAAAACCTCTGAGGTCTTCGCAGAAACGCTGAATTTTATTAAGGCAATAGGTCACTCTGGATTTTATTTAAAATTATTTTTAGGGTGAAATTGGTCTTAATACATAGCATGACGGATATTCCGGCGTAAAATAATTGAAAAGAATACATAGCTGTCTTTCCACTTTCTATTGGTTTAACTCTTAAAATCCTAATAAAATACTTTGTTTTGTGGTTGGAATTAGGACTGCAACAAAAACTTATTTTAGTAATTAATTACTCTGTCGATTATTTATAAAGATGCCTAAAAAGAGATTGTTTTTACCATACCAACTTTATTTATAAAGCACTTTAAAACAACCACAGCTGATACAAAGTGCTGTACATCAAAACACATAATATTAAAAAAAACATAAAATAAAAACTTGCAGTTTAAAAGGAAAAACATACAATTTAAAACTAGATCCCGCTAGAGTTGAAAGCCAAGTAAAATAAATGTGTTTTAAGATGAGCTTTAAAAGTTTTTGCAGAATTTAATAGTATGAAGCTAAAACTCTGCCACTTGCGTTCTGAGTGAAACATGTTTTCACATAAAGGTTTTTTTATGCAAAATGTATATATTAATAGTCTTTTTTGAGTCTGTATGCATTTACAGTTAATGATTATTTTAATTAATCATGGTTATTCATGATTAATCCAATTAATTGTTCAGCCTCAGTTTGAAGTACACTTCAAAAAGTGATTATCATATTTAAATGTTTGCAAGGTTCTTTGTATTGTCGAGATTTACTTTCATGTTTTTTTTTTTGTTACCTTCCTCCAATCCAACGTCCTAACCCGTTACTACTTGCAGCCATTTCTGTATTAATTTCATAAAGTAATATTGGACCCAACCTATTGCTTTTTTTAAAAAAGCAATACAATTTTAATCAGATTAATACAGTAGAATCTCGTTCATTTTGTCAAACTAGATTAGCAATATTCTCCCAGTCAAAAGTTAATACATTTGTTTTCTACATGAAGTGACAAAGCCATGAATATGTGTTTGTTTAGTCGAGTCTTTTTTTTTTCACCACGCATGTTGTTCAAGGCCTGCTTTGTGGGGGAACTAACTTAAAGACTGTGATTTTGGTCAATTCATGGCATCAACAAAAAGCTCTTAAGTCTGTGTAGCTTAAATCAAAACCCAGCAGGACTCATTACTTTCCAAGGAGAGGATCAAAGGTATGCGTCTGCTGAGGATAGCATTATGGCAGCCAATGACACTAAAACACAGTATGCTCTTTTTCTCCAGACATCCATGTTTTCTCAATCTGTCTTTCTTATTCTACAACAATTTACAGCCTCTCAGAGGTAAACAAGACTGGGAAGAGAGTTTTTATCCTTCACAGGTGCTGCTCAATTCCTGTTTGAATCTATGTTTAATGTGTTGGCTCTGAAGTAGCACCAAGTTTAATTCATTGTTTCATTAAAGTTAATGATCAGTTGTGCAGCCAGAGAACTGGAGTACGCAAACGTTTTCTATATCAGTGACACAGAGTTGATTTCAACATGACAGCATGCAAGTAATTTTCAGTTTCTTGTGTTAAGATTCTCAGCAGGCGAGGCTTTCGGTGTCTAACATTCCCGTCTCTTTTCGTGCTTCTGCATCTTTTGAGGCTATTAGAGGTCATTCAGCAGGCTGTGAAAATAATGTCGCCCACCACTCAAGAGGTCTCAGAGCTTGGCTTTGTTTATGCTTCACAGACGCAGTGCACGTATCCTTGTCTGTGTCTCATATGCACGTTGACTTCCTCTCCTGGCTGTGGTAAAAGCAGTCGTACAAAGAAGCCGCCACAAAGCGCTTAAAGTTGAAGCACTTTGGACTTGCCTCTTGGGCATAAGCCGAAATATCCTGAAATATCCAGTGTTTGGTTTGATTTACTATAATTTATGTTGTATTCTAGAAGAAAACAAGCTCAATGCTTTAGTATGTTTTTATTTTCTTCTGTGCCTTCAACTATGTTTGTCAGAAAATCCTGGTTTCCGTTTTTTTGTTTTATTTTACCTCAACTTTTTAGGGGGTTTTATTTTTGAAGATCCATTGTTGTTTTTTTGTTATAGAAATTTGTGCTCTTTCTGCATAGATATCGGGCAATTAACGATATAATGTGTTCATGAAAAAGCATTTTTCAGACTAGACATGTTAGAACCATGTGACTCCAAGTTTCCTACTCTTCTCTTCACATTGCATAAAGTTGTGCAAATATTCATATAAACTTAGTAAAGTGTGTCCCCATTGTCAGATCTATATTTTTCCTAAACAGTGACATTACATTTTTATCTGCTTGACAAAAAAATCTGTTCAAGATTTACTCCAAACTTTGGACCATTTTCTGTACTGAAGAATATCAACATTTTTGTTCAGTTTAAAATGATTCAGCATTTCACTTATCCAGTCCAAAGCAGTTCTGAACCGTACTAACAAGGTGTACCTTATAAAATGTCCAGAATATGCATATCTTATCAGAAGTAATAAAAAGAGAAAAAAATGTTGTGTGAGTGACCAGATCTGGAGATGTGTATGGACAAAAAAAATGCAATTTATGTCTCCAGACATTCTTTTTTCAAATTTGTTTATCTAGAAGACAAAAAAATATAAACATGTTGAAATGTTGAAGTTGAGCTGAACTGAGCTGGTCTACATGATCACTAGATAACCCTTTGTGGAAATCATTTTTCATTATTCAGATGAGTCATTTTGTTTTCTGCTGTGTCATGGCTGCCAACAGGAGGTTTTAAAAAATCTTTTGCTTCCACTGTTTAGCATCCTGAGTCTGCATCACTGGAAGAGGTGAGCTGCTTATCACCGAGCAGGTCAACGTGAATCTAATATGCCATAATTCTAATACTTGCATTCACATAAAGTGAATCGCATGTGAGATATGTCTTTCTCAGTTATTTATAGTTATCTTATAAATAACTATAAGATAATAACTATAAATATCTTTCTGAGTTGTTTATAGCTATCTTAGCAGAGGGGTTGTATATAAATTATAATGTGGTAACAGGACCCACCTAGTGGGCTTTGCAAACATGTTTATTCCTTTCAAACACATGTATTTTATGTGACCAACACAAAGTGCAACATCATTGTCACATCTGGATGATACTTATTTTTGGAAGAATATCATTCCTACATTGTCACAGAAAAAGAAAATATGTTCCAGTATGCATCCTGGGTGTCCCTCATTTGACCTCTGTTTTCTGTCCTTTTCATTTCAAGAGGAGTGATGTGTTTGGTTAGCCATGTAGCCTCATCCAGTCATAACTGGCTATTTTTAAAGAACCAACTTTAAATTAAATTCTTTAGTGATCTACCCTGACTCATCAAACTGACTTTATCAAAGTCTGATAAACATGACAAATGTTTAAAACACCAACAAGGTCATTCCTAAAGAGGTGTTAGCTAAAAGACGTAACAAAGTGGATGGATTTGTTTCTTCGTCTTTATGTTCTCTCAGATGGAGAGATTTAACCCCAACAGTCGTTCTGTCTAAACAGACATCACTCTGAAACTGGAAATCATGTTGTTCTCTTGGCACAAAGCTCTGGTTCCTAATCCCAAGATACATTCATGGAATCAAGATTTATTTGTAAATGGAAGCACAAAAATAAACAAACAGCGAGTGAGAGACATATTTCCATAAACTCCAGAAACATTTAGCCTCCAGACTCCATTGGTAAACAAATGGTAAAGTATCTTAGGTTTGATTTTTTAGCAGTAGGGAGTAAAACATTCGACTCAAGATTTAATATGGTGGATGGGAAGATTACAACACATTTACCTTCTGTCAGATTGTATCTCCTTAGTTGTTTCCTAATTTTTAAAAATCCAAATTTCATTTTGTGGCCCTATTTCCTTATTTTACAAACCAAACTGAACAATAGTTTCTCAAGGCCAAAACAATCCAAAGAAAATCCTACATGGCCCAGAAACTATTGTTCAAGACAAATTAACAAACAAACAAGTGTACAAGACAGCTAATTATTCAGAAATTGGTAGTTTAAATATATTTAATATATATTTATAGACATCCTGGATAATATGTGAAACACAAACAGAAATATTTGTAATACACATACAATCTATGTCCTGCCAAGGTTATAATTTTAACTTACAATGTGATATTTTTCAGTCTGGTAGAAGTAAATATCTTTCCAAACAAAGTATAACTAACTGCATATGTTTGTAACTTAATGGATGGATATGCAATGTCATCTGATGTTAAATTTACACTTCAGGAATATTTTCCCAACAACACCAAGCCCAAACTTGGTTGTTAATTTCCTTCTTTATTTTTTTGTGTCGTGAAACCCAAATTAAATTGGCTGCCTTCCATCTGAGCTGATCCACCGCAGCACTGTGAGGTTTGGGGCCATCAGCTGTTTATTTCAAACAGCCAACTCATTTACTGCCAGTGAAAGATTCCCCAGCTGCTCTACCCTCAATTACTACTGAAACAGCTGTAATCTCTTATCTGGTTAGCGTGAATGGACCTCCAGCCATAATTATTTACACTTATTGCGGTCAGGCCAGCGGCTGTTTGGACAGTGATAAAAATTATTGCATTTCTTTTTGCACAGTGAAGATTGGACTGACTAAGATAAAACATGTTGGAGAAGAGTCTTTTTAGATGCTTATGCCATATATAGAAAAGACTGAATGACTGTGTGCTATCAGTTTTAGTGCAACTTATTTTAGGATCTAATTTATTGACATGTTGATTTAAAATCTTTCCATTATGAATTTTTAGCTATTTAAAAATCATGAAGATTAATCTCTCTTCTGGTTGGTTATATAATGTGTTTGTGCTGCTCCACCATTTTAACACCATTAGCTTTGGCTCAGTTTGGTAAAACATCCCAGACCTTGATCCTGTTCAGTTCACACATTTAATGAATATAAATGCAGTTATTTAACATTCCTTCACTAAGAATCAAGAGTATCTCTTCTTATGGTGAATGCTAATCATGCCGGTTTGAGATGACTCCACAGCTTCCTACTTTGTTTAATTTGGAAAATTTGTGTAATATAGAAAATAAAACTTTGATGAACCATTTCAAAACTTTTCACATGTGATGTTACATTCATGTTTATTTAGATTAAATTAGCTGAAAAAGAAAAAAAAAACTTCCAATAACTTGATTATCCTGAATCTTGAGGCCATTATTTGTTTAAACTCCTCCCAAACAGTTTAGTCTTCAAAACTAAATGGTTTATTTTCATACCTACTCTAAGAAATTTGTTATGATATTTGGATTAGAGAACATATTTGTTTTAACTTTTTATATGAAACATTTTCATATAAAAAGTTACATAACTTTTTATGTTTTTTCATAACATAGAAAACAAACTACATACTTTTCTGTGTGTAGTTTTATATGATACTACACACAGAAAAGTATGTAGTTTGCAGCCTACATGAAAAAAAAGTGAGCAGTAGAAGCAAACATCATGAAGGAATCATCACGTACTGAACATATATGGATTTAGATTTTAGAAATGCATCTACATCCTGTTTCACTTAATGTTTCTTTATTTTCAGTCCTTTGTATTTTTAGCAATCTTTGCTTTGACTGACTTCTTTTCTTTCTTTTTCTTTTTTTCTTTTTTTTTTTTGCCCAGGCTTGGATTAAGGATTGTTTCCTTGAAAATGTGAAGCTCATAGGAGATTTTGGCTCTCTACCTCTACACTTTGTTTAATAGAACCATAATCTGAGCATATTTTCAGCATATAAGCTTGTTTCTGCATTATCTTTGACAGATTTGGCCACACCAGTTTATGCCCTTAAAAAGGCATGTTGTGTAATCAGAGCATTATGGAAACGGTCACAATAATTTAGGTATTCATGTTGGGGATTTCTGCAGTGTTTTTCTCAAAGCTCAAAATAAAAATATCCATACATGAAATTAAGGCTATGGACATCAACTGAGGTTCTTTTTGTTTTGTTTCTTCATTCATTTTTTTGTTTCCATTTTGGAGCTTTTCACTTGCAGCTGATTGTTTTTTTGCCCAAATTTTACCTCAGACTCTTCAAAACTTTCAGGTTGGATGCATCAGGCATATGGAGCTGAAATGGATGTTATTTTTATTCAGAGCACATTTCCAACATCCACAAATTAAACCAAATAGATTTGTCTAAATTTGTAATCAACATGTTGATTATCTCTGTGATTATTAGGCCTGACTTGGCTCCCATTCCCTTATCTATCTGCTTTAACTCACATTTGAGAATCAATGAAACAGATATGCTCAGGACCCACATTAATCTATTCATCAATGCAAAACTGCATAAAAAAATTTAACTTATTGCCTTTCAGCAACAACATATTGCATAAGCAGTTGCATAAATTTTGCAACCTTTTTCCATCTTGCATCTGAAATGGTTGTTGCTATTTTCATACCAAGCAGTCCGGTGTTAAGCTGAACTATATTTGTACTGGCACACAGTATGAATTAGCCATTTAAAAATCATGAAATGGAGCCAATTATAATAAAAGATGGGACATTTCCTTCCTGTGGCTCATTTTGATGACATTACTTGTTTATTGGAAGTCTTTCTTATGCTCTAAGCATTATTAGGAAAGCACAACAGAAATTAGAACAAAATAGAAATTATTGATTGAAGTCACAGTTGAGGGTTCATAAAAAAATCATCACTAAGTAAGTTTGCTCTTTAGAATTATTGTCCAAGATCACATAATTCCTAATCAATGATTAGAATCCTATTGAAATGTCCATTTATTTTAGAAACTTTACCTCCAACTGAAACATATGAAATGTGCTTTAGAAATATACTTGATTGATTGAAATATGGCTCACTGAAAATGTGTAATTATGTGTGATTAAATGTGCTGTTCAAATAAAACCTTTCATAAACTTTTGTGGCTCATTTTGCCCTCAAATACTTCCAGGTGTGATGGATTTTTCCCCACAGAGATAAATAAATATCCTGTTTTAGTAAATTACATCTTCCATATTTAAAAGGTCAGATCCAAATTGTAATTGTTTATAAAAGCTAGGTTAACCTTATAATTAAGTCATTTTTTGGTAAAACTCTGCTTTCCTTTTTTTTTCTCACCTGGTGGTTTAATCTGTAACCTTTCATTCTTCAGCAGGTTGTCATTCCTGCAAGCAGCTCCACTCATAGCTCTGCAGGATGAGCATTTGATTGACATGTCCTCTGATGTCCTTTTCCCGCCTCTCTCCCCCGTCTCGCAGTGCTGGGTGTCGTTCCTGAGCTCTGCCAGTGCCGAGACCTGGAGCTGGACTGTGACAGCGCTCAGCTAAGAGAAATCCCTGTAGTGGCGATAAATGTCACCGTGATGTGAGTAGAAAATAACCCCTTCTGTTTTAGGGATGGCCTTTTTTCAGCTTCATAAAGCTCAACAAGTCATTCATCAAAAGCTTTCACTGTCATTTCTTATTGGAAGTGTTGTCATGGATGTCTGCCCTCAAGGACCCCATGTTGGGGAAAAAGGTGAGGGCCTGTCATTATTGAAAAACGTACTCAAAAACAGAGAAGTGAAGTATTACCTTGACAAGTGTTTTCACTTTTTCTACTGCATAATAGAGAAAATTATGTTACCCAGTCGCCTAAATTAACCACAATTATACATTCTTAGTTGATATTCATATATAAAAATATTTTTTTGAGCATTTAACAGTTTCAGTGGAGAGGAAGCTAAACATGATCAGTTCAGTCATCTGGGAAAAAATACACACACTTTAGATTTAGGGTTTTATGAATCAAACTAAAGTTTGGTCTGTTAAAAATCAGCCCCTTATTGAGAAATTATTGCTTGTTGGAGGTGTGGACTCTGTTGAAGTTTTAGGCCTGATTTTACCTAATTGCTTTTGGCCATGACGTATGTAATGCACTATAGCTCAATGAAGCTTTGCAGCTAAAATGTTTTAAATGTTTCTCGTCCTCCAATTTTAATTGCTCAATATTTGGAAGTGTGAACAACACGGACTGAATGGCTTCATTTACTTCCTCTACTGCCATTTCCAAACTACAGCCGTATAGACAGATTGCAATTTGAAAACGGCGCAAGAAATCAACATCAATTGTTCACAGCAACTCCTTTTGTTTATAGATTTGTCTAAAGAAATCAACCTCAATGGGAGAAATCCAAGATGGAGCATTAAAGGGAAATAAAAAATCAAGCTGAACGAGGAGGTGATGAGCAGACTGACTAAAAATGATTCATAAATCTAGTCTGAAGTGCACAAAACACAACAGGTTCCACACTGTAGTTAAACAACAAGGTTAAAGTCCTTGTCAAACGGCGTTTGACTAAAGTCAAAAGGGTTGGAGACAGCTTTTTATTTCTCTTTCTCACTGTTTCCGAGAGGTTAAAGTCCTTGTCAAACGGCGTTTGACTAAAGTCAAGAGGGTTGGAGACAGCTTTTTATTTCTCTTTCTCACTGTTTGCGTTTTAATGATGTTTTTTTTTTAAACTCTTTCTCACATGCTGTTTTTATTTTAATTATGTAAAGCACTTTGAAATGCCTTGCTGCTGAAATGTGCTATACAAATAAAATTTGATTGATTGATTGAACAAAAAAGGAAAAGTGTAAAATAATTATCCAGTCACTTAAATAATCACATTGGCAACAACATCAAAGCATCTGTATGATTTTATCCTTCTGTTATGACTGTGTGGAGACTGAAAAGTTGAAGCCTTCATGCGTTTGTTGCTCTGCTCACTTAAGGTCCCACTCCAGGATTTCAAGGTTAGGTCAGAAACTTGACTGGATCATTTTTTTTCATCCATTCCGTTTCAAAATTGCTGCTGTGTTTAGGATCATTGTTCTGTTGGTAAAGCAGTTTGAGCCAGAGCTCAAGCTGGCAGGCAGGTGACCTCTGAGTTGACCCCAGAATATTTTGAGTCCATGATGACTGTGAAGTACCCTGATAGTGTGGCGACACATCATGACTGACTGTCGGAGTCGGGCGTTTACTGTTTAGTTTTCTCCAAACGTGGAGTTCTCCACTTTGATTACGTCTGTCCTTTGGACTATTTCACTTTGTTACTGCAAATCTTTAAAAACTTTTTATTGGCAAACATAAAGTAGCATTTAATTGTGACATGAAAGGCAAAACATGCACGTTTTCAACACTTTATTTTACAATTAAAAGTTTGAAAAGTGTGCTGTGTCTATTTTAGTCTACAATAAAATCCAGCCAAACCTCTAACCTTCAGAAGTCACCTAAATAAAGAGGTGTAATTTAATCTCAGTCAATGTAACTTCATAATGTCGGGCTACTTTATGTAAATCTGTCATGAAATTCAAATAAAATATACTTTGCTACAAAATGTGAAAAAGAATAAAAGAGCAAGAAGACTTTTGGAACGAACTACAACTGCTGAGTTTTTGTCATTTTGCTTGTCTGACCTTGGGGTGACTTTGCTGGCATGTCCATTTTGGAGAAGATTGACGGCTGTCTCTAATGGCTTCCACTTATAAATAATCTATGTCACTGTAGAAAGTTGGATTTCAGATTATTTGGAATTGACTTCATAATTCTCCCAGAAACAATTGCTTCCTAAATGTCACTGCTGATGTCTTTCCTGATGGCAGTGTTTTAAGACAGCTGCAGACCTGCCAAATCTTCTGCTTATAAATAGGTTGTCACGGTGATCAGGATAAGATACTCAAATGAATTTGATCAGCATCTTTTCCATGTTGGCTTTTGTTTATATTATTGTGTGTTTTTGTATCCTTCCTGTTAGATTTAAATAATTGTACCACCTACTAAAAGAAAAGGCAGTTTTCCTGATATCAGGAGGTTGTACGTCATTTCTCTGTAACTACCTCCATGTCTCGCTTGCGCTGAAGTCAACGCCTTTCCACAGTTAGACTGTAAAGGCTGAGAGGAGAGTAATTTAAGTTCAGATTGTACCTGTGCTCCCATATCTTTATAATGACACAAAATTGCTGTTGATTCTTCCAGCCATGTACTTTTCAGCTTCCAAATCTCACTGATTTCATTCATCAAGACTCTCCCAGTGGATGAGGATCTAAACTCTGATTGCCCTCTTTTCTGTTAAAGTTAGTGAGTGTGTTCGTAAACAAATGGTAACATATTTAGGTTGTTCTTTGAACAATAAAGGTGCATTAAGGAGGTTCTGGCAGACTACTTGACATTACATTTTCATCTCCTAATTGTTGCAGTCCTTCACATGTAACTAGAACTTTAACCACTCTGGAGCTCATCATTGGTTAAGTGTTTGTACGAATGCTGGTTTTCCATTTTCTTTCTAGCTTTTGAGGTTGTTTTGTGCCAAAAAATTGATTCACACAAGAATCCCGATTCTCATGTGAATCAATTTTGCTGCAGCAAAACAGAGGATACAGGGAGGGAATAATTCCATATAAGCTCTGAATATTATTCAGAACTTAGTAAATGTGTCATTATGCTTTGCAGAACAGAATGACGGTGCTTATAGATTTAAGCAGAAATCATTATGAATTATAGTTTTTAATTGAATATTGATTTTATCAAATTGTGGCACCAAAAATCAGAATCAAGTCGAATCATGACACAGTAAGACTCCCAGCCCTACTTAGTTTCTGTTTTTTAAGATCATTTTATCTGGGAATGCTATCATGTTCTACACGTTTTTATGTTTTCCTGTCTCCAAATCCTCTTTTTAATTAAGGCCTGCTTTAGTTCTGTATTATATATGGAAGAACCAATTTTATTCAAGTGTTCAAAGAGGAATGTGTTATAACCAGCAAGTACTGTCTTCACCATGAAATGAGAGGCACTTGTTTGACCCCTGCTGTTTCACAGAATGAATGGCTTCACTGATTGAGCTCTGTAATCCTGGTATTTTAAACACACCCCTTTTTAATTAATGATTTTATTATGCAGAATCAGCACCATGCACGTCTGGTCTGTTGATTTTCAATTGCTCTACACCTACTGGTGCTAAAATACAGTGGCGGGCCGTGCATTTCACACCTAGGCCTTCAGTAGTGCCCGGTCTGAATCAATCCAACCCTCAATAACTATTTTATGGCTAGAAAACTTCTACTGCAAGTACAGCTGCGACACACATAAAAAAGCATCAAAAATAACCTGATAAAATTGCAATACTATTTAGGAATATAGCAACATTTTACTCACCAAAAATCCTGATTATTTGTACACAAAATTCCTCTGTTTTTGGATGCAGTGCTTTCATCGTGCCTCCGAAATGAAAGTTCCTGCTTGCCCAAAAAAATGACACAGTCTATCAGTCTTTTTAAGATTTCCCTATTTTTCTTCACCTCAAAGAAAAATAGGTCAACTCAAAATCTGATTGGTTGAAGCAACAGTTTGATCGACATTTATTTTATGCTACATGGCCCGCAGAACTGATTGTGAAGGCCTCCAGGCAGATTTCTTTGACCCTGGCAACAAATAGTGGCTGAAATGTGATTGGTTCAATGCTTAAATATGAAAATACATGTCTGGAAGCAGCACAGCCAGGGGGTGAGCAATGAAAGGAAGCGGATAGACCATTTGCAATTATTTAATACGTATTTATGGACAAAATATAATTAACATCAGTCTGTGATTCAGATATTTTTAGGCCAGCAGAGAAGGCCTTGCAGGCCCTGACGGCCCACCACTGCTAAAATATGTACTTCCGCCATAAACAGCAGTCGATCTGGCTGTGCTGTTGCACTCTGAATGTTTTCAACAAAACTGTGAATCTGTGAATTTCTTATCAGCTCGAGTGTGTAAACTCCTCTTTTAACATTTGTTGGGTTTCTGAAAAGCTGAGTGTGTAACTCCAGGATGTAAGCAGCTCTCCAGCTGGCCTTGTCTCGCATCATAGCAGATGTTGAATGCAGCCAAAAGCAATGGAGTCTTTGTCCATTCATCATCAATGCAGAAAATCCCATGTATAAACCATATTTTGAAGTGGGAAAAAAACTAAGCAGAAACAAATAACTAATTTGGAGTGAAGCTAAAAGCTTTCAAACAAACAGTCCTTTTTTTTGGGACATTTTTTTGTCAAACAACATCACACAGATAAATTGTTGTTTAAAATAGTGGAGAAATATTGCATTGCATTGGGAAATTGAAAAAATAAAATGTCTAAAGTGGAGTCCTAGTCACGTCTCATAAATTACTTTCCTTTCTGTCCTTTACAAAAGCATGCATGTTGGTGGTCTGTGTGTGGAAAAAGTCAAGATGTTGTGTTTGGCTGTCAGCTTAAATTTTGCAGCTTACCAGAACAGAAGAGCAAAGAAGATTGTCTTATAATTTCCCCAGAGTCCATAGGTGAACACATCCAAAAGTCTGGTGTAACTACAAGTGATGAAATTACACTTTAGTGACATTCTAATCCATTCAAAGGTTTGGAAGCAAAAACAGAATCAACTGGAAGATTAGGAGCCTCTTGATAAAACTGAGTTTGTAAGATGGATCAGCAGCTTGACCGGGTGCAGCATGTTTATGGTTTTAATTTTCTAACTGCTAACCAAGTGTGAAAAGATCTAAAAAAATATTATTATTCATCAGGCTTTCCTTTGGTCTTTGTGTGATAAATCATTTGAAAATTTATGTCTGATGTTATTTACCTTGCCTTATATTCAATAATTATAAGTACATTCTAAAAGAATGAAGCAAACATTAGAAAAAGGCGACATTATGTTAAGAACGCGGAATGAAAATCTCATCTTTTGCAAATGGAGATGGAGAATGATAATTTGTGTGAGGCATTTTAATGGTTTTTATAATGCAAGGACTATTTTAATTTTATTTTAATTTTAATTTTATGTTAAAGACCAACTCAAAATACTGAATAATTCTGGAAGGAAAATGAAACACGGTTTTCAAACGTTTTACAAAGCAAGCATTTGTATTCAGTCCTTTTGAATGGAGGTCCATCTTTCCACAGAAAAATTACCTTACATGTACAACCACAGCTACAATGGGATGGCTTAGGTCACAGCTTATTCATGTATTACAGGGGCTTAGTCAAAGTCTAGAGCTAAATCCAATCTGACTGCACTGAGCCATTTCACAAAGATGGGCAAAAATGTTGTCTAGTTGGCAAAGCTGGTAGAGAAATACTATAGAAGACATGGAAACTGTGGTTCTGCTACGCATTTACTCAGGGAGGCTGGATGTCAAATGGTTCACCTTTTTACTGCAAAAGATTTCCTAAATAATCCATCATTTCCTTCCACTTTGCTGACATGCATTACTTTGTGCTGGTTTGATACATAAAATCCCATTAAAATATGTTGAAGTTTGCAGCTGCTACATAACGCAATGTACAAAAAATCCTGCTGATTAATAGTTTGGCAAGGCTTTAATTATTTTATAATTTTAATGATAACTATAAAGTGGTCTGCACACTAACATGATCATAATTCCTTCCTATTTCTCAGGTCCTTACAAAGAAACAGACTTCACAGGCTGAAAGCAAAAGGATTCTTTAACTATCAAAGCCTTCAGAAACTGTGAGTTTCCATCATCCTCTCTCCATATACACATAAACTAAAGTTACTTAAACCCTGTGCAGGAGACGTAGCTGCAGACGTTATGAGCCTTGGAAGGCTGCTGGGCATGCTGGCAGTGTTGATTGTTCTGCCGTGCGTGTGGATGCTTTTGCCACTGACTTGTGCTGTTTATCAAGCTTGCACAGTGTCACTGTGAGGACAGGTCTAATCCTTTGCCAGAACATGTTTGGCATTGTTGGGATTATCGGTTTAAATAGATTTAAAATGTCTATTATGTTTACATAAACAAGATGACTGAACAGCTGTTAGTAAAATATAATACTAATATCCTACAACACTAGGATGTTACCCCCAAATTTAGGCCTTCCTGTATATAAGCAGATTTCTTTGTCAGTCAGCCCAACCATATTTTGGCAACGTGCCTGTTTTTGTTTGCTCATTAATTCATCAGCCTCAAGATGTTTCTGTGCTTCTTCTGTAGATATCTACAGCACAACAATATTCAAGATGTGAATCCTGATGCATTCAGGGGGCTTCATAATCTGACAAGACTGTGAGTAAAGTAATAGTTTTTCTAATTACTAGATGTTTATTGTAATTAGATTATTATAACTTTTAACAGCTCTGTCACTATTCTGATTCTAACTTCAGATCATAAATGTGTGTGTGAGAATAAGTTCCTTTTGGATTAAAATCAAACTCTTATTTCATAAAACATGACCACAGTAGCTTGTCTGGTATTAAATATCACAAGTAAGAGACATGAACTCCTTTTTATTCTAGTTCTCATAAACTGTTTATTGATATTCCTATTGATATGAAGGGCAGCTAAATAAAAACAGCTATATGGGCTACAGTTAGAGCGCTTCTTTGACCAAATAGGTTCTGCACTATGGCTATTAATAGATAAATTATATCACCTTGTGCTCACAGTCAGATTTTCTTGCCCAAAAAGATATTTCTAACAGTAGGTTCTGGATAAATATGTACCACTTAATTATAACATAGTTGAGTGTGGCGTGAGCGCCCCTGCTTCCTCCACAGATTCAGCTACGTGTGTAACGGAAAGCGAAATCAGCCAGAACCCAAAACGCAGCCAACACAAGAGTAGGTTCACCAAATGTCTTTATTACAAAAATAATGGTAAGAAGGGGCTAAACAGGGTGTCGTCACGCTGGTTGGTCAGGAAGGGGGAAGTCCACAGGGGTCTGGGATCCAGCCGGGGAGGAGTAAGGTGGATGGGCAAAGGGAGGACTTGAGGGCTCAGGGGACAAACAGATGACAGGGACAAAATCCACCAACCAGAGGCTGAGTCATGGAACAATCCAGGTTCATTCACGGGAGGCCACAGGCAATGAAGATCCAGTAATCAGAAAACTTAAGGCAAGGTCAGCAAGGTCAGAGTCAGGCAGGGTTCATCAACAGTAGGTCAGAAATCATCCAGCAGCCAAGGGACAAGGCAAAAACTGTGGTCAAAAAACAGGCAGGATCAGAAAATCAGAAAACTTTGAAACATGAGACGAGGCTTGAAAGCTGTGACTGGGGCAACATGATCTCGCACTGAGCTGGTGACGAGCAGCTGTTTAAAGAGGGCGCAGCGCAGGTGAGGGTAATGGGTAATCAGCACAGTCAAGGTGGAGCTGAGGGGCTGAGATCATGACAACGGGGGAAAAGCTGAAGAGGTTTAATGCAGTACGGAGAGAAGATAATGGCACAACCACCAAAACAGGATATTCTATTCAAAACACTTCTTCACAGTCACAGATTGTGAAACAAACTGCTGATGTCAGCAGTATGATGGTGGAAAGTTTTTCTGGAAGGAAATATGTTGTTTTTACTTTTATGTACTCGGTGACTGTACATATGAAGATGCACATCTTTTTTCCCGTCTGTGCAAAATAAACAAAACTGAATGTTCAGAGACATTGACTGTATATCAAAATGTATATTTTTATATTTTTATTTATTCAGTAAAAACAATAAATGAAAAGTAAAACTGAAACATGTTTTAGTTGTGACTTGCATGAGAGCAGAGAGCAGATATTACCAGCTCTGTAAGGTTCTTATAATGTGAGCCATGATTGTGAATGAATAAATGCTAATGGTCAAGTAAAGCAGGTGTGAGTATGAACTTGAATGGCTTTGTAAGTAAATAAATAAAAGTTGATGAAGCTAAATGACTTCAGTAGATAATGACTTATGAAGCACAGTAGCACAAATAAACCCTTATTATTAAAACACATGCTACATTTACAGCAGGTTTTAATGAAAAACAAAAAATGTAAACAAAAACCACTAAAAAGGAACAATAAGAAAAATAAACAAAATTCTCCTTCAAAGATATTAATCATAAGAATGGACATTATTGAGCTCATTTTAATTTATCATGTGATCAATTGATTAGTTGCTTATTGACAGTAACGATACTGGTCAGAACTGGAGCATAAAATGATTTTATTTTTTAAAAAGATTTTTGTGTCTGAAATGGAAATAAACATCATTATTTTTATCTGACACTGTATGTAACCCATATGCTCAAACTATGAGGTAAGCACAAAGTCATCGTCTTGACAAACAAATAGGAACCTTTCAGGACGACTTTAAGTTTTAGCTGTGTGTAAATTTAACTAAGCACCTCCGAAAAAAGGTTTGATTGTTTGAAAAATGCCATCACAAAGAACTGAAGGTGGAGCGCTGCAGTCCAGGTTGAGCTGGAGAGATTTTCTATGAGTCAAGGTGTCGGAGCAGGATGCCAAAATCTGAACTGGTGCAGAGCTTACTTTTCTGCTGGCTGTAGATGAATGAGCAGAGCCGACACAGGCTTTCACAGAGATAGGGAGGCGAGTAAGGGAGGAGCAAAGCTGGCTGGTGTTCAAAGAGGAGAAAACTGAGAGGCTGGAGCAGAGCAGGGAAATTACTGAAAACTCTTCTAGACAACAAAGAGTAGTCAGCTATGGCGTAATCCCTCAAGAAATAGCGGTCGAAGAGTTTCGGAGCTCCAGTACTGCACGTTTACTGCAGGGCTTGATTAGTTATTTAATGTGTAAAGGCCGTGAAGAAAAATGTTTTACTAAGACGAAGACAACAGAAATTGAAACAAATCTACAACAAATTTAGATATGCTGGAAAAGAAACAATCATTAAACTTTAACTGTTTTAGATTAGTTAGGACCAGCAAACTTAACTCTATTTTCTAGATGTCATTTGCTGATAAAACTTTTTTTCCACTTTGCACCAATTGGTTGAATTGGTTTTTAAAAAACATTTAAAGCCGTAAAATGGAAATGTTGTTGCTAGGACATTAATCATCTTCCAACAGATTAGGGGGATATCATGTCCTGTTACATATCAACAGCTTTTTGTAGGGTTTCCTCATAATGTATGGAAAACTAGTTCATCTTTGCCTACTGGTTACTTTAACGTTACTAGTTATTATTTCAGGATTACCCACATTCTCACAGCTTATTTTAAAAATTGTTTCTGTCATTATAAAACATTCTAAAAAAAACTTCAGCACCTTTGAACTAACTTGGAATGTCATATTTTATCAAAGTTTGAAGACACCATAATGTGACCTTTTCAATAAGATTTCATAGTCACATAAATCACACATCTGTAATACTGCACGTTATTTTCAACCATGTTGTGCATGACCTCACTTTTCAACGACTTTTATTATAGTCCATATGTTTCTATAGTGTGAGGCCAGAGCCATTCTGAAACCTTCAATGAAACATAATTTGTCCATCATTGTTCCTTTGTAACAGCAGATTTTATTGAATTTGTACCCATATGACCTAAAATGTCAGCCTAATCTGGAAGAAAATTGGTTCAAATGATCGAAACAATCTGAGACTCACCAAGCCTGTCATAAACTAGGCAGCAGTATCACTGTCCACAGAGAGTTGAGTTATTCAGCATGGACTGAGGGTGCAAAACAAGAAAAAAACTTTTCCTCCAAAACTGACACCTTTCAGATTGACTGATATTTGTAGCTTCCTACACAAGGCAAGATGAATGTCAAGTGAGATGAAGCTGGAGCTGTTTCATTGTTGAGTTTTTGTAATTCTGTAATTGATTTTGCCTTCTTGATCACCCTGGTTGTTTGGAAGTGTTGTATTCTTCTGTGCCACATTTGTTTGTTTGACATGTACTGGTCACTTGCTCAATATTGTTTTTTAAGAGAGAACATGAGAAGAGGAGAGAAAACTGCAGTAAACAGTCTTCACCCACATATTCACCCATGTCAAACTACTTGAATAATTCTTAACCAAACATTTATTTATTGGAAGCTACGTGTGCTAAACGTTTTCAAAGTTAGCAAAACGCTAATGACTGAGTATAAGCTTCTGACTGACGCTAAATACAGGCTTAGCTTTGCTTGTTAGTTTCATGTGTCATATACAGAGTAAGGTAACATTTTTATTATTTTTTTTCCAGGTACCTGAGTTACAACAAGATAATAGTATTGATGCCAGGAGTGTTCAAGGACCTGCACAAGCTGGAGTGGCTGTGAGTCAGCAGCTGTTATGTTCCATTGTTTCCTTTTTCCTCTCGTCCTCCTCTCAGCGTTATATTATACACCACACGTATCTCTGCTGAGGCGGTTTTATCTGAATCAATGATCCAAAAATAAGGCGGAAACAATATTGTTTGTCTTTTCAGGATCCTGGAAAACAACAATATCCATCAGATATCTGCCATGACATTTTCAGGACTGAACTCCCTTGTTTTACTGTGAGTTTCTGCCCTTACATTATATACTTGATCTTTTACTTTCATCTCATGTTTTTTTGGACTATTTGAAGTGGTTGTTGTTCTTCCCCTCTTAAGAGTAAAAGTGTCTGAACATGAAGAAGAAATGAGCGACACTGTGTTTCTTTTTGTCTCTGATTGACAGGGTTTTGTTGAACAACTCCCTGGCAAAGTTGGATGACATCTGCCAGGAAATGCCCAGACTGAACTGGCTGTAAGTGGGATATCAGAGAATATCACAAACTGTCCTCTCATAAAAGTGACAAGACCTTTGATGGGTTTATTCTCTCTGTGTGTGTATCTATCCCCACATACTCTCTGTGTATGTGTGTGTTTTCCAAAACATGTCCTTGCAGGGACTTGGAGGGAAATCTAATTGAAAAAATTGGAAATGCTTCTCTCCATTCATGCACCATGTTGACAGTTCTGTAAGTGTAAATTTGCATAACTTAATTCATAGCTAAGGCAAAGGTTTGCTCTCAAAATATTTACTTCTGACTTAAGCTTGCAAATCCTACCCAGATTCACTTAAAACTGAAGCCACCTTGCAGCCAGAGCATGAAGTCAATACAGGCGATTCATTAAACGGAAGGAAGAGGCTTCGAGGAACAGCGGAGTAATTCAGTGCTTATTGACTTTTTCCAGGGTGTTGCAGCGAAACCGGATCAGCTACATACACGAACAAGCATTCTCAGTCCTCCAAAAGCTCGGAGAATTGTAAGTTCCTTTCCTCATTTATTTTATTTTCAAATCGCACAGAGAAACTATTCTCAAAATAAAAAGAGACAACGTTTGAGTTGCTTTTGAGAAAAAGGCTGAATGAACCACGTTAACATGTGGATCACTTTGAAAAGCGTCACATATTGTCTTCCAGTTCCAAGGACATTATCAAAACATTGATGGAGTGTTTGAAGGAGTGTGTGAACAGTACGTTCTGAAGGAGAGCAAATTTTAAGGGAAAGATTTCACAATGTCTAATGAGCTCACAGTTATGATGGAGGCTTCATTGAACAAACTCATGACTGCTTTGTACTACTTGCAGTTAAACTGAATATGGTCATTTAGATTAGCTACTTTATTGGGGCGCATTAGTTTGCTCCTTTGAAATGTTTTTTCCACTGCGATATACATTTCAGCTAATGTTCCCATTTTAAGAGCATTTCTTTTCTCTACAGGATTATTTTGATTATGAACTCTTGACCCTTCTGTTTCTAGAACTACAGATTTGTTCTCCTTCACTAACTTTCTTAACTGTCACAAAGTTTCTCACAAAGTACATGTAATGTTTTTTATTGAATTTTCTCCAAATGTCTGAACCCCAGAGGATATTTTTTCTGTTTTTCATTGAGCTCATGACTTTTCCTGGAGTTTTTCCAACTGAAAAACAAAGTAAAAAAATAAACAATAACTCATCAGAGGCCATTTTCATTCCAGTGCTGTACTATATACCTCCCCAAAAATAATCCACAAAATATATCACAAAACAAGTTACTTCTTACATACAGGTCAATTTGAATAAATTGATATTTAATTCATTTAAATAGTTAGATTGAAAATATATTTATATAGGGATCAATCACACTCACAGTGATATATCAAGTTTTTATTTATCTTAATTTTGATCATTGTGGCTTACATGCAGCTTCTGAACTTTGGAATATTACAAAAAAACATTTTTGTTCTGAAATGAGATCCTACTAAAACGTTTCACCCGGAACTACAGAGTATTTACACTCACTGCTTGGTCAAAACTTTTTTTGCGTAAATTACTGTAATTAATACAGCATAAAATGAAGGCAATTAATTCATCGCTCAAAGAAGTTTAGGGTTTTATTTAATATTTATTTAGCCTTTAGTTTACCAGGTAGAATGTTGGAAAACAATTTTCATTTATAAACCTGACATGACAGGAAAAGTACAAAAACACATAAAAAAAAACATTTGAACAGAAAAGCCTCAGTAATGTCTCTTCTCTTTGTAACAGTAAAGTAGTATACATCCTGGATGCCATCTTGGATAAATATTACTTAATCTAAAATGTCCTAGCATGTGATTGTGTGTTTTTGTTAGCTGTAAAAGAACTTAACTCTGTTTGTGTAAGAAAAATGATTTTAACTTTCTGAATAAAGGAGATTAAATGAATTAGCTTTCTAAACTATTGTGATTTATTGAGATGCTCCTCTAAATTGAGCATATTTAACCTTTATAGCCAGTATTATACCAAGTGTCTACTGTTTTACTTTTCAGACTGGGTATTATTTGACCTGTTTCTGTACAGAGGACACCATTCCACTCCTGTTGTTTGTATATTTCTGGCTTATAACCACAGACGTGCTGCGTGTGCCTGCAGATGTGAACCTTTTACTTCAGATCCTGTCTCCCTCTTGAGTTTTGAATAGTGCCCTTTTGCATTTATCTTCATAGCATCCCCCCAACTGTATGTTCCTTTTGTTTTCTGTGCCTCACTGTTGCCTGTACAAAGCTGATAAATGCCTCATGAGTTTTAGCATCTCCTGTTTCAGGGACCTGTGAATTTTTTATGCTCCTCTAGCAGTAACTTCGATAGCCGGAGGCAACATATTGTTTGTTCTCATTCTCCAGAACACACTGAAGGAAAATTTCCTTAAATTTTGTAGTAATGTCGCTTTGGATTAAAGGCTGAACTACTTAAAATTAGTTGGTCATATCTCAAGATTACTGTGACACTTTTTGTCCTGCCTGAAATATAAAAAATGGGCTGCAGACATTTAACAGCTAGGGGGTAATTGAAGCTTTTGTTTTTCCTTGCTGGATATTTGAGGGACAGAAATGTGTCATCTGTAAAATTTGAAAGCTATAGCACCGTTATTGTAACATCAGACACACCTTCTTTGTCTAGGCTGTGAAAGCTTCAGGCTAATTCCAACTGCTTGGGTTTGACTTTGAGACTTTGGAATAAATTAACTTAGCGGGAAATATTTTAGATAACGTCAAGCTCTTTACTTTTTTTTTTTTCTTGCAAATACTTTTTTGCATCCTTTTGTCCAAGATAAGGCCTTCCATGACTCTTTTATTATCTCTAAATCCCATCAAAGCAAAATAACCAGTGTTGTTTTGTTTCTTCTCGACTCTGTAGCCAGAAGCCAGTTACATTTCGCATGACTTTATTTATTCTGTTGTACTCACAACATAATTAAACACTCACCAATAATGCACATTTCTGCAAACTCTAAGATTTTATTTTGTCAACCTTATTAAGCATACAAAGTGTTGATAATAGTTGTTGGTTATTTAATCAGAAACAAGAAAAACAGAGAGAATGCATCTCGCAGCTCTGGCTGCTGGAAAAAAGTCAGTTTTAGTATTTTATAAATGTTTTTTAGTTACATGCATTGAACTGTAAATTGCTATAACAATAAATCTTCACTACAAAGACTTCAGAGGATGAAGATAAATCATGATGTAACATTAAAGCACTGCTTACATCATTGTACCTTAATCAAGTTAAGATATCTCTCCTTGCAAAAAAGGCGACATTTATCTTTATGTTTCTGCATCTTAAGATTCCTTTCTGGTTAAGAAGGTTATGAATTCTCCCTGCTATATTTGTGGTGCAGTAGGTGATTTCAAACACAGGTAAGCATGTCGACACTAACATTTCCTTGCCAGTGTACTTGTAAACTCATATGTTAGTGTTATGGGGAGTATCGAACGACAACGAAAGGCAAAAGTTTTCTGCTGCTTGTGGTGAAATCCAACACATGGGACAGAATAGTAACAACAG